CCCCCCCCCCACGACAGGCAACCACCTCTAGGCCGACAGGGAGACGACGACAGCAATAGCATCTGGAGCACCACAATCGCGGCACAGTACACCCCTCGCCACCGCCACCCCCCCATCCCCCTCCTCGCACAAAATGGCATCTGCGGTCCGGAGCGGCTGCGGCGCCGCCAGGCTGCTGCGTCCCCTCTCCCGCCCCGCGGCGCGCCTGTCGTCCAGGCCGGCCCTGATGGCGACGTCTGCCGCAACCCGGCGGCCACTCACGGGCTCGGCCGGCTCGAGGCCGGCGCCCTTCTACTCGTGGGAGCCCGAGGGCCCGTCGGTGCGGACCGAGATCCCGGGCCCCAAGGCGCAGGCGGCCATCGCGGAGCTGGACCGCGTCTTCGACACGCGCAGCCTCAACATGCTGGCCGACTACCCGGCCAGCTCGGGCAACTACATCGCCGACCCGGACGGCAACGTGCTGCTCGACGTCTACGCCCAGATCGCCTCCATCCCCGTCGGCTACAACAACCCGGCCCTGCTCGAGGCGGCCCGGAGCCCCGAGATGCTGCAGGGGCTCGTCAACCGGCCCGCGCTCGGCAACTTCCCGCCCCACGACTGGGCCGAGGTCCTCAGGTCCGGCATCCTCAAGGTCGCGCCCAAGGGGCTCGACCAGGTCTTCACCGCCATGGCAGGGTCCGACGCGAACGAGACGGCCTACAAGGCCGCCTTCATGTGGCGCCGCCAGAGGGAGCGCGGCGGCCGCGACGTGGCCTTTACCGACGAGGAGCTCGAGAGCTCCATGCGCAACGAGGCCCCGGGCGCCTCGCAGCTGTCCATCCTGTCCTTCAAGTCGGGCTTCCACGGCCGCCTGTTCGGCTCCCTCTCCACCACGCGCTCCAAGCCGATCCACAAGATGGACATCCCCGCCTTTGACTGGCCCCAGGCCACTTTCCCGATGCTCAAGTACCCGCTCGAGCAGCACGCCGAGGAGAACGCGGCGGCCGAGGCCGCGTCCCTGGCCGAGGTCGAGCGCCTGATCCTCAACCACCCGCTCCCGCCCGCCGCCGTCGTCGTGGAGCCCATCCAGTCCGAGGGCGGCGACAACCACGCCAGCCCGGCCTTCTTCCGCGGCCTGCGCGAGCTCACCCGCCGCCGCGGCGTCCTCCTCATCGTCGACGAGGTCCAGACCGGCGTCGGCGCCACGGGCCGCTTCTGGGCCCACGACCACTGGGACCTCCCCCACCCTCCCGACATGGTCACCTTCAGCAAGAAGGCCCAGACGGCCGGCTACTACTTTGGCGACCCGGACCTGCGGCCCAACCTCCCCTACCGCCAGTTCAACACGTGGATGGGCGACCCGGCCCGCGCCATCATCTTCCGCGCCGCCATCCGCGAGATTGAGCGTCTGGGGCTCGTCGAGAACACGGCCAGGGTCGGCGACTACCTCTTCTCGCGCCTCGAGCGCCTCGCCGCCAAATACCCGGCCGAGTTCCAGAACCTGCGCGGAAGGGGCCAGGGGACCTTCATCGCCTTTGACAACCCGCGCCGCGACCAGTTCCTGGCCCGCGCAAAGTCGTTCGGCATCAACATCGGCGGCAGCGGCGCCACCGCCGTCCGCCTGCGGCCCATGCTCATCTTCCAGGAGAAGCACGCCGACATTTTGCTCGACGCGCTCGAGAAGATTGTCGCCACTTGGTAGAGAAGGAAGGGGATAGGGAGAAGAGCGAGTGTGTGCTTTTTTTTTGTTTGTTTTGTTTGTTTCTTGTCACGGAAAGCATCCTATTTTTAGGCTCCAAGACTCTTTACGGTCATATTGGCACGCATATCCTTCAAGATATTTTTTTTTTCCCCTAAAAAAAAACACTGAAAAACCAAACTTGTTGATCTGCCCTCACAGAGTGCACCCTTCCATGACCCCCCCAATGGTACTGATCTTTACCAAAGCGCGCAGCAGATTATTGCCAAGGTGGGCCAACAGCATCTCCAGGGTCAAGTAAACCTGAGAATAGACCGTTGGGAGGGGAGACGAATTCGACTGGATTGTCTTCAGAAGCTTTGCTTCGGTTGTTTTTGTCATCATAACTGCTCGCAAGACCTAGGGTGTTTGTACTACATCCCCTCCTTTGCCATCCTCCCCTCCAGAACGCCAGTGCAAAACAAGAGAAAGCGACAGACACAAGAAAATAATCACGTCCTTGTCCTCGCCTCTCGATTACGTCGCTTTTGCTCGCTGCGAGTCGGCCGAAAATCCCTCAGGGGCATTCTCCGGCAAACAAAGCAATGAAGCAGTACAAACAAGCATGGCGGGGTACTCGAGCTTGTTTCTAGCGAATAACGGGACCAAAACCCCCAGCTATTTATTGCGGGTCAAGTTCATCGTCGTCCGGCTGGTCAAAGAGGAAGTTGGCTGCCAGCTCCTCGTTCTTGTCACATGCAAAGTACGCCTGGATGGCCTGATCCCGGTCGAAACCCAGGCGGCATAGCTGGCAAGGTGAAAATTTTTGGTTAGCACAAAAATGCAGTGTTAAAGTGCCGCGCCGGAAATGGTGAAGGAAGACTAACTCGCTCAATGGCGTCGCGCTCCTCCTCGGTGACCGAGATGGCCTGCGCGCCAGGGGGCAGCGGCACGTCATCATCAGCGTCCTCGCCCAAGAGACCGAGGAACTGCTCGGGGTTGGCGGCGATGAGCTGCGCCAGCTGCGGGTTGCCGGCGCCGAGCTGCTGCAGGATCGGCTCCAGCATTTGCGGTTGCTGCTGGACGACTTGTCGGAGCTGTTGGAACTGCGCATTGTTGCGCAGGAAGTCGAGGTTCCCAAATGCCTGTCCAGCCGCTCCCGCGCCCGCGCCAGCCGCCGCAGCTGCAGCAGCAGCAGCCGCCGCGGCACCGGCACCAGTACCAGCAGTCGCCCCGCGCGAGGCGCCACCACCGCCACCACCGCTACCACGGCCCTGCTGCGCTGCAAGGTCGAAAAGGTTGACCGGGTCGCCGCCGTCGTCGCCAGATGGGGCCGCTGCGGCAGCACTGGCCGAAGGGGTGCCGGCCTGGGGCGCTGATTGGCGAGGAGGCTGAGGGTTCTGGCGAAGGTTGTCGGGGATGCCCTACAGATACGAAGTGTGTCAGTCCGATCACGTTTCTCCCAGCTATGCAATGGAAACCAAGATAGTAGCGGCATAAGCGGGCGAGGTTTGTCCTCCTACATTCAAGAGATACTCGACGGCACGGTCGGGGTTGAAAAAAGCGGCACGCATGGCAGCATCGATCTGGGAGCGCTCGAAGCCCATGGCCTCCATGTTGGCAATGGCCTCATCGCGTGCGGCACCGGTACTCAGCATGTTCGGGTCATTGTACTGGCCGGGCTGTTCGCGCTGCGGCGGCGTCGGGGTTGCCGGGACAGCAGGTCCGGAGGGGCGGGGGCCTGAGCGGGAGCCGCGGGGGTGGCGGCCGGAGCCTGGGCCGCGGGCGTCGCCGGTGGTGCCGCCGACTTGGAGGACTCGCCTGCGGGGGCTGCGGCGACCGGGGTTGGCTTGGGCTGCAGTTCACGACAGTCAGCTTTAGTTTCTTGCCCGCCGTGCTATCTGCGTCATCGGACAGGCAGCAATGCATTGGGAGCCGGCCCGAGTGCTATCCCACCTTGTTCACCACGCAGACTACGAAGCCCTTCTCCTCGATCTTGTAGGACTCGACGGTGTCCTCATCCTTCAGGATTTTACCTGCGCCAAGTCATGAGGTCCATGTTAGATGCGGCCGGGGTGGAAATAGAGGCAGGTGGTTGGTTCTTTGCGGCGAAATCAACAAGGGCTGCTCACCCGAGTAGATCAGCTTCTGGAGCTTGGGGTCCCACCCTCGCTCCTCCGAGATCTTTTGCTTGACAGCCGAGACCTAGCACGGCGCGATCCTTCCCATTAGCAGCTACTCTCCCCTGTGCGCTTTCCCCCCGCGCGGTTCGAGAGGGACCGGCCTGGAGAGGCGGCGGCCAGGCGGGCCAGGGCGGGACGATGGCGGGGTTGTCCATACCAGATCGGTCGGCTCGACTTCGATGACGAACTTTTGCTGCTTGAGGTCCTGTGCGACGGCAAAAGAGAGGGCAAGTCAGTAGATACGCGGAGGGCAGGTTGGTGTGAAAATGAAGTAGAGATAGCCGGGCTGCGGTCGGGCGGTGGTGTCGTCGCAACGGCGGCATTGTCGGGGCCCAGCCGGGAGAGGGACCCGCCACCAAGCACCAGGCGGGCAATGCACAGCATACCTTGAAAGTGACCTTCATGATGGGCAGGTTCGTGCGGGGGATGCTGGCGGGGAGTGGTGTTTTCGTGCGTGTCCGGGTCGCTTGGGGTTTCTGTTGTTTTGGGGTGGTGATTTGGTTTGACGGTTCCGCCCACAAGCAGGAATCGCCAGGCAGAAAATGTGCAGAGGTGAGGAGAGGCAAGATCGATGACCTGCTGTAGGTCCGACTGGGGTCCTGGCGCCCCGTCGTCAAAAAGGTGGGTGGAGATTGATTCAATGCCAATCACCGTGGGGCGGGCCTGCAAACGCGCACGCTGCACCGGAGCCTAACCGGGCGCGGGTCTGAGGGCTGGAGGCTCAGTGCTGCCTGTCTGCCCACCGTATCAGCGCCACAGGGCGCCCCACACCTGATTCGGAGCACTGCGCCAGCGGTGCTTGCCCAACCAGAAGAGCAGAGCCCCGCCTGCACCTGCCGTGCCTGCCCTTCCAAGTTTGATGCGGGTGCTAGCGCCAGAGGCAGGAAAACGGTGCGGATTCCATCAGGGAGTCCTGCGTCTTCCCGTCGGTTCTTTTTTGTTTCTCCAGCGTGGAGGAATCATAGGCATCAGTGCGCCGTATATGCGGCTCACGACCAGACCCCCACGCATCCTCACATCAAACGAGCACGAAAGGACCGAACGGGCAGCATCCCACCAGGTACTCCTTTTTTTTCTCCTGATCTCAACGTTGCCACGTCCTTCTTTACCCGGGACTTCCTGTTCTATGGCTTCCATCTATTGGGTGTTTGACCTTTTAGATATTATTTTTACTCTTTTTCTTACAACTATCTAGCGGCACTTTTTGGCTCCGTAGTTCGCTCGCAGAAGATCTGAATGATCTGCACCCAGTAGTTGAGACTCCTTAAGACAAAAAAGAAAACAAAATCGTAACGAGGAACAGACTAAAGAAACCCGATCCAGTGGTATCATCCCTCCGCCTCCAACCGCCAACCAAAGGAAGTCATAACACTCCCGTGGCCAACCAAAAATAAAAACCAGACATTAAAAGACGCAATGAAATGGGTACCGGTTGGTACATGGTATAGGCTCGTTCCCCTCCGCCCAGGTCTCCTCACAGCGTCGCCGCCGTCTCATGAACCGTCACCCACCTGCGACTCCCAGGCTTTCCCTCTTTATTTTCGTGAAGACCCAGAGACTCCTGAACGCAAGGGGGAATCAAAAAAAGCAAAATACGCAAGAAAATTCCTACCCGCGCATAACGAGGTCATATCGGGATTCGTAAAAGCGTCACGTCTGCCACCGCCCACCTGTGGCCACTACCGCTCGTCTGTCCGCTGCGCTCTGCTGTTGTAGCGGTGCAGGCTCGTCCGACACCCGGCCGTCAAGACCCAGTCGGGTATGGCGGGTATTGTTGGTGTCAGCCGCCTCTCTTCGTCTTCGTCGGATGCCGAGGCCGTCTTCTTCTCGGACCTCTCCTCTTCTTCCTCTTCTTCGTGGAGGTCCAGCTCGACCAAGCGCCTGTCGTCGCGCGGGGAGACACCTCCGGTCCGCCCCCTCACTGAGGCGAAGTCCTCGACGCTTCCTTGCCGGCTGAGCGGGCTCGAAGCCTGGGGCATGCTTCCGCTGCGCATCCGGCTGCTCATCGACAGCGACCGGATGCTGTGCGAGTCTGATGCCAGGACCTGGCCGCCATTGGGCGACGCCACCACGATTGTGCCAGGCGTGGCCAGCGGCGGGGGCGTGGGCGAGTCGGAGCGGAATAGTGGGTGAATGTGCGATTCGCTCACGATCGTGTGCTGCGTGATGCCACCCGAATTGGTCCGGGCGCGCAGGCCGACGGGGCTGTAGCTTCGGGCCCTGCGCGGGCGCCGCGGCGGGGGTTCGAGCTCGAGGGGCATCCCGGGGCTGGGGCTCCGGCTGGTCGTGGGGCTGGCGGGGATGGTCTCGAGAAGGTGCTTGGCGGGCAGCGTCACAATCGTTCCGGTCGTCTGCAGCAGCATCTCCCGGCTCCGGGGGTCGACCGACGACGTGTCCCATGAGTCAAAGGCGTCATCGCCAGTGCTCATCCGCTCCCTGTTCGCGCACGAGTCCGCCGATCCGGCACGACGCGGCGACTTCTGGTTGCCGCCGCGGATCAGCCTCGTCTTAGAAGTGATGGGGCGGACGGCGTGCGAGAAGGACGAGCGGAAAGAGCTCATGGTCTCTGCGGTCGAGCGCCCGCTGCTTGAGCCCGGCGGGGTCGGCGAGCCCACGGAGCCCTTGCGGGTCCTGGTGGTGACGGGGCTCGAGGTCTTGCTGTAGGGGATGGACTTGATCTGCGCTGGCATCCTCTGGCTGCCCTGCTCCAGGTCGTCGGCCGCCCGACCGATGCCGAGCATCCTGTGCAGAGCAAAGTGCGAGACAAGGAAGATGAGCTGCAGAGCAAAGGTCACTCCAAGAGTGACAGAGCCGCCAACCAGGAACGGGATCGCGGCGGATCCCATGATGGTGTCGGGCAGGCTGCTTGCCGCGCTGCTGAGGCACACCATTGCGGCCGCCGAGACTGTAGCAGAGGTTACGCAGACGAGCGTCAACAGCCCGAACCAGACGAGGCCGTGGCTGTCAAAGGGGTTCTTGGCCCGTGTGTTGACGTGCAGCGAGAACACCCAGCCAAACATGGCAAGGACGGCTGCTTCGAGCACCGAGGCAGCAATATCGGTGACTCTCAACGGGGTTGAGGGTGCTGACCTCAGGGCTTGCGCCAGGATTATGTGCACCACGACCAATGCCGTCGTGGCCACAATGGCGGTGGCGCCCAAAAGCGCGGGTACCCGCTGGGTGAAGCTCATCTTGTCTATGAGAGAGCTAGTCGGTGTTTTGGTTTCTGTCTACTTGTTTGAACTGTCGACTCAAGATGACGTCGAGCAGTCCAGCGCCCGAAGCCAAGAGGAAGTCCAATGGATGCGGTGCGCTGAGGCGGTCGACGCGGGTCAATGCCGAAAGAAACGTCCAGCGAGGATCCTCTCAGAGGGCAAGATGGTGGTTGCGGTCGTCAGGCAAGGATCCACCTTGACCTCGCGCCTAGACTTCCCAGGAAGGAAACCCGGCTCGAAACAGAGAACGCTAAGAACAGGAGGAAACTGGAATGAAAAGGAAACACCCGAGTCAAATCCGTGTTCGGTGTCTGTCAAGATCAGTGGGGTTTTTTGGTGGATGGCAAAGAGCGGGCTGTGTGGTCCCGCCTCGTCGGAGAATGATGGATAAAGGCGTCGTAGTCGACGGATCGTCGCCGGCACGTGAAAGATGCTGCGGAAGCGTGGTTGCGCAGTCGATATGGCTGGGGCGCGGTTTGCGAACCGTTTTCATGGAGGCAGTGTTGACTGTGTCCGAGAAGAACTTCTTATGAGGCAGGCTGTCGTCCAGATACGGCAGAGTGGGCGATATGCGACCAGGGGTGATAACGAACAACAGCGGGGGAAACCGAACGGGTTTGTGTGGAGGAAGTGGCCTTGGGTCCGTCCCGGTGTGGCCGCAATATCGGGCCTCGTGGAACCTCCTTGGTCTCACACGCTGGCTGACTTGGCCGGGAGAGCGCAAGGCTAGGATTTGTGTTTTCGGACAGGAAAAGTCTAGACCAGTCTCCAGTCCCACAAGGCGCGAGGGCTGGAGGATCGCAAAGATGCGATACACAAAGACGAAGCCCGCAAGGGGAAAAGGTGAGAAAATCGGCCGGCGAGAGCAACACGATGGACGATGGACGATGGCCTCCAAAATGTGGGGGGGTGGGCGACGAATAAGGCTAAATGTTATCGTGTCCAACGCGTCGCGTGGGTGAGGGTGGGCAGTCCCGGGTTTTGTTGATTACTTGCGATCCGGATCTGGGACACAAGTCAAGTCTCGTCGCATTGGTTGGGCGTCGGACGGGACGAGAGTCGCAACGGGACAAGGGGGTGTGGATGGTGTGCTTGCCCGCCGTTGGTGTGGTGTGATAATGGGGTGGGCGTGTGTAAGGCCCCAGGGCAGGGAGTGTGCCTGCAGGTCTTGGTGGGATCGAAATGTCGCACGGGCCCCGCGCAGTGCAAGGTACCAAGCTCAGTGTTTGTTTGTCGGAGCCAATGGATCGTTTGTTCCTCGTTGCGGGTGGGTGTGCTGCTGCTGCTGCTGCTGCACCTTGCTCCCGAGCCGGATGGATGGCGTCGGCTTCTCAGCGGCCCCGAAGGTCTCGGAGAAATGTTTATCGAAGAATGCGCCGATCGATTTTTTCCTCCCTCGTTGGTCTCCCTTCCTCTCGACGCTTACTGCGGCTGAGCCTGTTTCCCGTTTCTTTCTGCCCAGTAGCCGGCTTGGGTTCGTCCAATCAGAGCGATGCGCGACGTTGTGTTGCCAAATTTGGATTTTCCGTGAAAATTGATGCGCCCGGCTCAGCTGAGGAGGGATGATTATTGGCAGCGTGGGTGACGACAGGCTGTATGACGCCACTCCAGGTGCCGGCAGATACAGGTTGGAATGAAAGCAAGTAATGGGGGGCGAGGCCGAGGAGGCGTTGTGATAGAGAGCGAACGAATAGAGAAGAGAGATGGACACCGAGGATTGAATAGTGAGGTAAACGAGTGACTGCGGCGGCTCTCTCTATCGTGCAAAGGTCCAGCTGGCGGGGAGAACAAACCAAGAGACGGGAGAGGGGAAGGAGGGACCTTGGTGGGAGGAGGAGGGATCTGGGAGTTATACCTACTCTCCCGACCTGCAAGCACACCGCGAAGCAAGCGGAAGTACCGGGCGAACCGCATACCCCGCACAAGTGGTTAGACCCTGGCGGTGCAAAGTTGCGCACATATGAATCCTAGCTCCCTTTTCCCCATCCCACAAACAAGTCATGGCTTTCTTTTGCTTGCCGCGCCCCTGCTCCATCGGAGAGGGCGGACTAACCCCATCTCGGGTCCCTGGTGTGTCATGTAAAACAAGGGAGGGCTACAAGGGTCACACGCCGCCGTATTGCGAAATATGGGCCCCTTGTCTTGGTCCCTCACTGGGAAAAAAGGGTCCAGGCCGTCGAGAGAGCCCCATCCGCTGGGCTTTGTTTTTGCCTTGTCCCCAGGTGAGAGAACAGTGTCTTCTGGTCCCGGTGAAGCGATGGTTCCGCTCCGCTGGGGGATAGCGGATACCCGAACCCACGCCCGAGCAGGGCGACAACCAGGCCATGGGAGGGGGAGACCCGCCTCATTGCCAGGTACAAGTACCTGCCTATGTATATGTCCAGTAGCAGAGGCAGGGAAAGAAGAGGCAGACAAAAATGAAGAAAGAAGAAAAAAGTCTGAGAGGCACAGTCATGTCGACGATATGACTAGGAAGAGCGGGCAGGGGTAGTCCAAGGACACGGAGTCGAGAACGACCCCCACCCCTGTTCCCCGGGGAGAGAGGTGCAGTGGATGGGAGACGATTTCCAAGGACCACAGAAGCAAAAAGTATACTGGGCAGGATTGCGGTGCCGCCTCTGGGCTGGGGCGTGGACGCTTCTGCTGACACGCTGGTCATCTTGCCCGTCCCACGCAAAGGAGGGCTGCAGCTCGCTCCTCCTTTTTTTCCCCTTCCTTTTGTGTGTGTGAGCTAGGGTCCCCGTTCCGGACATGGCTCGCTTGAACAGCCGATCCGGAACTGCTGGGTAGTTGCTTTCGTCTCTCGATATGTGTTTTTCTTCCTTTTCTTGACCGCTGGGACAACCCCAGCGTATCAGGTTCACCACTCACAGAACTTCTCAAACGGGCGCAGTCAGGAATGTGCCGCCAGGAGGGAACCAGAAAAAGAGGCTAAAAAAAGCAAATTGGCGCGGTGGACGCTGACCAAGGCGAGGCATTCGAGCTATTTTTTCCCTCGTTTTCTTTTTTGTTCTCTTGCTTTTTCTTTTTCCTAAACCTTCTCCCTTGCCGAGCCCGGGAGCTACCACCTTGGTCGTCAAGCCCCACACCGTGCCAAAATATGGGGCGTTGCCAGGAACCAGGGGTGCTTGCTTGCTAAGCGAGAGCGGAGTGAACCGTGCAGCGCAGGCAGGCTGAGGCGGCCCGGTACCCACGATGACGTCCGGGAGGAGACGAGCCCGACTCAGCTCTGCGAGCCCACACACCCACCAGGCCAGGCCGATTCGGGCAGCCTGCCTGGGCTGGCAGCTGATTCGCAATCAGTTCGCAATCCTGATTTCCTACGCCGACGACGCAAGGCAGCACAGGCTGCCATCGAGGCTGTGAGAGGGAGGGGGGCCCGATGCGGCAATTGTGGCGGTCGTATATTTCCTGTCTGTCTCACCCCAGGTGTCTTGCACTCCCAGCAGATCCGCGGTGGGGGATCGCTGGCCCGATGCGGCGAAACACGGGCTCGCAAAAAGTAACGGGAAACGCTATATTCATCCTGCCAGATGCGCCCCTGTCGCCGGCTTCGTGGAGGGGGTTCGCCTGCCAGGAGACCGACGGACGAACCACGTGCAGACGTTCGGGCGGAGTGCTCTGGTCCATTTGCTGAATACCCTGGGGTGCAGAGAAAGAAAAAAAAACCTGCGCTGCATACGAATTGTCCAGAGGTTCCATCCAACTGTACCTCAAACAGACTAACGGACTGCAACGTCAGCCGCAGCCCGTTATCGGTCGGCACAACTCGTTCTTCTGATCCTTCAGTGAGGGCTTGGGCTCGCTGCGAGAAGGGTCCAGACTGGGCATCAGATCGGAATACCCCAGCCCATCGCCCCATAGCAGATGCTTTGTTTTCTTAAAAACAAACCCGGGGGTCTGGGTGGCAACCGCCCGTTGCCTCGTGAGCATTGTCGCCATGGAGCCGAGCCCACTTCGCGGAGAATAAAAAAATCATAAAACGGAGGATGCATGTTTCGTTTCCCGCCGCACGGATTCCCTCTGCCCTTGCAGCTCCACGACAAGATGCGCGGGGTGGAGTCGACCACCGTTCGCCGAACCCCACCCGAGAGACCCGAGCTTTTTTTCTTTCTTCTTCTCCTCTTTCGCGCAAGGAGGCCACGCATCCTACAGGGCTGGCACGGCTTGGTTCTGGGTGCCTGGAGCTAACCCCAGTCAGGCGAGCCGCGCGCGGGCATTTGCGCGCGAGCCAGCAGCGACAGGCGCCTGGTCGGCTTGGAGAGATGAAGTGAGCTGCACGCAGATGGGGTTGCGCACAGCAGATGCAAGTGCAAGCGCATGTGCATGCACACACGCAAGGGGGCCCCTTGGAGCTGGATTCCGTCTCCCCCAGGGTCTAATTTCCGAGCAGGGCGAACGAGGGCCGACAGGTCAGAGCGAATGCCTCGGATGTAAACAAAAATGGATGGCAACGGCACGCAAAACAAAAACCCACATTTGGAAATAAGTAAATAATACAGCACCAGCTCTTTGCATAGCAAACAAGACAAGCGAGAGCGATGACAGAGCACCTACCGTCAGTCCGTGCCCACCTGCTGTGTGTCTACTGTGTGTCTAGCTACTCTAAGTGATTCGACGTGGGGTTTGAGTTATTGAATAGGGTGGCGTCATGTGATAGACAAGGACAATGTCTCTTGGGTGTAGGTGTGTGAGACTCGGCCTGTGCCGACAATCAATATATTTAGATATCAACCGATGGAAACGCCCAGCCTGTCTTCGATTTTCAAGCCACACTATTTGATCTGGACCATCATAAGGCTGTCGGCATGTCTCGTCTTGGTTCTTCTGAGGTGTGGGTGGGAAAATGATGGGTTTGGGGAGTACCGGTGTGTGGGATTTCCACGTGAGAACGGCGCGAGGCAAAGCTCGGTAAACAAACAAAAAAAGGACTGATAGCGTGCCATCATCATCATCTCGGCAGACCGAGAGTGATCGGTCTCGCTGGCGCCGTTTCACTTCTCTGTGCGGGCGTTGCTCTCGCTTGTGGCCATGTTAAATTTCTAAACCCCACCGCTACCTTCGATTGGCTGCCGGCTGAAGGGGCAGAACCCATTCCATTGCGACATGATGGCCGCTACGGGAAATGACGCGAAGCCATCTTTGCCCACCGAATCCTTCCCCCTTTTTTTCTTTTTTCTTTTTTTTTTGTTCTTAGTTCTGTTTGCTTGTGATGCTAGCTCCTCATCTTGCTTGGCATTGGGTAGGTATCCATATACTGCAGGGCAAGTGTCCTTTCGCCATAGCAGGCGGTATAATTAGTCCTGGCGATTCATGCGCTCATTTTGACAACGAACGGCACTAACCCAAATGCCAACAAATGTACTTGCCTGTTTGGGAAGGCTGGCCTCGGGCCCTTGAGCCTCACAGCCGCCCGACTACTGCATTAGGGCGAGCATGAGGTATTTCCTCATCTGCCAGCACGCAGCAAGATGGGCACAGAGCGGGCCACCCCATTCTGTGGGCAACATCCATCATTTCCTGCCCCATCGTCCAGGCCTTGTTTGCCCAGCCAGCCCACTCACCAGCGTCTCGGAAAACCCTCCCCCCGCGAGCACCGGGAGATCACGACCGACCGGCCGAGCGCTCGCTCTCTCGCTGCCTGCTCTGCGGGCGGCAATGCATTCAAGTGGATGAGGGAGTGAGATGAGATACTTGCTGCTTGCTCTTTTTGCAGCGACGGCACTGACTCCTCCTCCACGCCGCCCAGGGCACATATGCGCGCCAACATCAACCACAGACGTATATCCACGTTGTCCCTTGTTCGCATCTCTAATCTGCCCGGCCTGCCTTGCCTCCCACCCCCCGCCGACATGGTGTGTCGTACGAGAAATGTCGTCGTCGTTGGGGACTGTCATCCCATTCCCGTCAGCAGACCCTCGCAGCCAAGGGCCATCCGATCGTCCCCAGGATGCCTTTTTCTCTTCTCTCATCCTACTCCCTCCCCCTCTCTATCTTTCTCACCCCACCGGCGTTCAGGACCGGCATGCAGCATGCCTCCCGGGCGGAGCTGCTGGGACGAGAGAATCCGGGGTTCGCCGGGGCAACGCAACGCGCCGCGCTCGGTCGGGGGGGAAAAAGGACTGCAAAGCATGCGATACCGCCCGTGGCATGGCCCTTCCCGCATTTCCCACCTTGGCCTGCTGTTCCCTTGGATCGCCGCCTAGGTGTCTGTCTGTCTGTCTGTGTGACCGGGCAAGGAGTCGATCGGCTGGCTGCACAGATCGCATGTACATATAGCTCAAGGAGCTTGCAGCTTTGCGTATGGTTCGCGCCATCTCGCCACCCATCGGACACCGCCATCAGGCGACGGTAGGTGTTCCCATGTATTCTCCCACAACGCTGGCTTGCCTGTTGTTCTAGTTCTGGCCTACCCGACCGGTGTCATGTCTCCATCGAAGTGGTGCAACTAACCATGCGCAAAGCGTGCTGGCCGGTCTTACGATCGCGCACGCAAGGACGGATCTTTGGGTTGGGTCGATGGTGCAACACTCGGTCAGATGGCTAGACTATCTCCGCAACCTGTTTGATGCGTGGCAATGGGGGGTTTTCACCCCCCCTTTTCTTGTCTCCCGAAGTCTACACCCCTTGGCTTCTACCCAATCCTCCCGTCCACCACCTGCTCGGCGCTTCTGTAGGAGCCGTCGCCTGTCAACGTCGCACCATACCGAGGAAGTTGGCCCGGCTCCTGGTGCGGCGCTATCGACCCTTCTGTAACAGCACGAACATGTACGCGAAGCGCTTCCCCCACACATGCTCGCGTTAGGTCGGAAGTTTCAGAGTCTTCGATCTTGAGAGATTCTACAGGTGTCTTTCACGCCATGCCACACATGCCGCTAGGATGGAGTCGATGCCCCGTTCGCGCGAAACCCATCTTCTTCCATGGGGTTTTGGCCTTTCCGGAACAAACATTCTCATTGGCCCCACGCGCCGCGCCCGCGCCCAGCATCGATGGGCTGTTTGAGAGCGGGCGCTTGGCCTTGCCCAACCGCCCAAACGCCCGTGCCTGAAGGGGCGATGGATGCAGGAACGCCGTGGGGAGGAAGCAAGCAAGGTGTGTGAGTGTGTGAGTGAGCCAACTCCTTCGATGGTGGGGTGCTTTATTCGCCGCGTGGGCTCTTTGCGCTCTCCAAGGTAAATTCGGTGCCTCGCGGCATGGCCGGCCCCAACGTGCAACCCGCGACCCTTGGTGTTTACAATACCCCTGTTTGCCCAGAACGCTTTCGCGATCGGCGTCGAAGTTTCTGTACTCGTGTTTCAACCCCAAGCCTTTTTTTGATCTCCGCGGGAGACTTGGGGACCGTTGGATTTGTTCCATGGGCTAGGTTCCTTTGAATCCTCCACAGGCTGAAAGATGACTCTGTGCTAGTCCTCATCCAAAGCGCATACGGCCATAAATCATCGTGCCCTGTCCATGTCGCTATTCCATCCTAGATGCATGCGCAATCTCTCTAATCCAACATCACGCCAGCTTTGTCCCAGCACAATCCGCATATGTGGTCTTTGGGGATGAGGATGAGGATGAGAAACCCCACGGGGTGTTTTAGCTGTGTCCGAATTAGTGTGGTTGGTTGGTTGGTTGGTTGGTTGGTTGGCTGGCTGTGTTGGCGGTGCCGGAATGGAAGGAGGCTGTTCCGCTACAAGGCTGGGTCCGACGCCTATTGGCCATGGGCGAAAATCACGGCTATTTTTGCGCACCTATACTACCGAACCTCCTCGTCAAAAGCTCGGGCCAGCCCAACGCCAAAAGGTGCAGTTTTTCTTCCAAAGTGGGCCCGCTCAAGACAAAGCAGGCTGAGGCGAGAGAAATGGCAATATTCCCAATAATCTCACCTCGCATCCAATGGGGTCAAGTCCGATTTGTGGTGGTCCCTGGGCCGGCGACGTGGATTCGGCCAAGTTTGAAATGCCACGACTTTTCATCTCCTGATAGGCTGGCTGCCGGATGGATCTATCCACGTCACAGCAGAGCACGGCCAGCTGACGGACCAATGGGTCAGAATTGCTGTCCAAACCATTCGCTACTTCGGTGACCGTAAAACCTAATTTGACGGCGGTCATTATATCAGATATGTGGCCAGTATTCTGTGCTGTCGGCAAACCCCAGAACGTCAAACTATCCAGTTGTTAGTTTCTCATTCGTCCTCTCCAACAATGGATCAAGAACATGGAGGGAACGATCCAACTCGAGTGTCACGACGTTGAGCGTGACGTGTTCATGTGCAACGTGTTGTTGGCTAGCCCAATAAGTATTGTCTTGCATATACATTGTGTGAAGGATGGGGTGCCGGCCGCCGTGTAGGATGTTGGGTAATGAACTGAGCATGGCCGTGTCCAGCGCCAAAAAAACAAAAACGAAACTCTCCCAAAGCCTGGGATACTAGAGAGTCCCCGTAGGTCAATTCGATCATGTGGTGGACTGATGCGAGGAAGAAGAAAACCGACGAAAACATGACCCAGAAACGCCGCCGAGAACGAAGTAAAAAAAAAAAAAAAAACTTAACTACAAAAACAACAAGAATAGAAACCAAGGAGAGTATGTTGTAAACAAAGTGAAGAGTGATATGTCGACCGACCGATTCGTCGAACCACCGTTTTGAAACCAAGTTTATATGGCCTCCGAATTTTATCATGCGTTCCTTGTCTTACACCCGTCACGTAGCGTGTCATGATCCGGTCTTGCCGGAGCGAAAGAAGAGAGAGAGAGCAGCTGATCAAGGGGAAAGAGGAGGATGATCGGGAAATGGCGGGAGATAGTGCGAGTGGCCGCAAACTCTCCTCGGCGCCCGGTTGGGCGGCACCGCCGCCTGTCTGGGAGTGGCGGATGGGTTGTGTGCGCTCAACAAAGAGGCCAACAACCACAGAAGAGCGCGACTCGCACAGTCCATAAAAAAGTGCTCCCCTCCGTCACGCCGGATTGCTGACCGGCGCATGCGCATTAAGATTATGCCCATTATTTTCGTGCTTGAGACGCTCGACTGCCGGCTTGGTCTGGCCGCCGTCACCACCGCCGCCACCACCGCCACCACCCCCTGGGCCGCTAGAGACGGCGTATAGCTTGTGCCCGGTCGCGGCCGTATAACGCGACGCAGCAGCAGCTCTCGCGGTTGAATAGTCCATTTCCGGCTCGGGCGCTGAAATCAGGTTGCTGACAGAGGGCGAACGCTCCGAACGCTCGACGTTTTTGGCCTCCCGGGGGAGCGCCCTCTGCGCTGCCGAGTCGGAGACGGCGCGAGATCCTCTTTTGTCCATGGCTGGGTAGTCCGAAGGAGACGTGATCGGGCGCCAGCGCACGAGACCGCTCTTGCTACCTTCCTCGGACCCCACCGACGCGCCTGCCGCGGGCGACCTTCCCCTGCCTCCTCCTGCTCCTCCTCTTGGTGCCCCATAAGAACCCACAGTAGCCTGATAAGGCGGTTGTCCGGCAGGTGGTGGTGGCGGGAGCGGAGGGGGCGCTACCGGGTTCTGCTCTGGGGGAGACGGCACTGATGTTGGAGCCGGAGCAGGGGAAGCCTGGAAGGCCGGCTGGGAGGCTTGGGAGGGCATCGGGGCAACCGGTACATATCCAGACGACGCGTTGGCGCGCGCCTCCTTGTCTGCCTTGGAAGGCCGCCCGCGTTTGCGGCCCGAACCAGCCGGAGACACGATGGGAGGACTAGCAACAATGGGTGCAAGCGTCGGATAACCGTTGGGTGCGGGGCGGGGCTGGATGTTCCGCGGCAAGTTGAAGGGCGCGGCGGATGGTGGTGGCAGTGGTTGCGGCGCATGGAGAGTCGGGGGCGGTTGCTCGACGGGACTGATAGCGAGCCGCTTCGGCATCGGCTCATTCAGATCGTCGATGGACTTGCGCTTCAGGTGGGGGACTGGTATTGGCGGCTGCTGCGCCTGAACCTGGAACATGGTCTCGTACGCCCTGATGACCTGGTTCATGTTGCGTCCTAACCAGGGATGGCGAGTTAAAACCCAAATGCACACACCACCAGGGGACGTTGGCCGACGTTGACAGTATTTGGTGCCCGACTTACCACCCGGCAGCTGCATGGACAGCCAGTCTGGCTCGACATTATATGACCTCACAAAGTCAACCAGGGTGCTGACATCTAGGCTGCTAACCTTGATGATTTCGGCGAGGACGCAACGCTGTGGCAATCGTGGCCGGGGCGCGGAGGCCAAGGCATGTCAGAAGAAGCCCAAAGAAGAACAAGCCCGCGGGGCATCGCAGACGGCAAAGCCAGACAGGGTTCACGTTCGGGCCCCGAGTTGTTGTGGGCGGGAGGGGCGGGCGCGCGCATGGCCTAGGAGGCACGGTATTAGGAAATATGCAGGCTCACCTTCTCCGTGTCCGTGAAGGAAGAGTCCATGTTGGAGCACTGGGCAGGGCGCCAGGACGAGGCACCACGCGGCGGGGGAAGGCGAACAATGATAAAAGAATGAAAGGGAAGAAGCGAGCGTGTGCCGACACAGGGAATATGCCAGGACTGGCGCGGTTAGTCATTGAGGCGCAAGGTGACAGATGGAGCCGAAGCCAAGAGCCAAAGAAGGCTGGGCCGAGAACCTGGTAGAAGGCTCGCGGCAGTGGCGAGCGCAGACGGGCAGGGTCACGGGGGGTGCCTGAAGGTGAGCGGGCAGCCAGCTGATTATAGCTATCAGGGTTGGGGGGAGCCTTCTCTGGTCCCGGTCGGTCCCCTGCCGGGCGGCCGAGGACAGGCCGTTTCGAGAGAAACACAAAAGCCTCTGCCTCTGTGTCGACTTTCCGTCTGGCGCCTCTGCAAGCGAAAGCATGGAGCCACTGCTGATCTGGCCGGGACACCGAAATCTCGTTTCGGAAGTTGGATGGGAGCACAAGAATCGAGGGGGAAAAAAAGATGTAAAATAAAATAAGAAAAGGACGCGAGGCCCCACGACCGCTCAGTTGCCGATGCAAGGTCGCCTCGAAACAACAGGGGAGCGCAGCCGTGTTCGCAAAACAAGAAGTGAACAAAGAGAGAAAAGTAAAAACTCCACGCGCCTGGCCGAACGAAGCGCGCGCTTCTTTTCTTTTGATTTTTGCTTCCTTTGGGCGGATTTTTTCTTTTTTTTTCTCGTGGCCTGTGGTTTTTTCTTCTTCTTCTTGCTGCTTGAACTTTGCCACTTTCTTTGGCGGGGTGATCTTTCTGCTCAGGTCTGAACTCTCTGGTTGTTTTCCAGAGACGGAGAAACCAGCCGAGCGAGATTGCGGCTTGGACGGGAACCCTGGCCCTGCAGAGTGGGTGGCCTGGAGTCTGCAGGGTTGCACGGGAAAGTGAAAAGGGGAGACGCGATGTTTGCGGCTAAGACCCGGGACTCTTTTGGGCTGTGGATCGTATTTCTGGTTGATGAAACCGGGGAGGAGGGACGAACAGCGTTTTTTTTTTTTCCTTGTGTTTTTTTTTCTTGGTCCGCGACCTGTTTCTGGCCGGATTTCCCTTTCTGGCGGCAGATCGCCAGCATGGCAGGGATGAAGGGTGTTTTCGGTTACGATGTTGCTGCTGGGCTCTTCTGCCTTGTGAGGGTGTGCCCAGGCAGGCAAGCTGTGCTGCGCTGAGGTCTGGGAGGCCGCAGAGCAGATGGCCGATTCGCTTCCAGCTAGCGGGCTTGACACCTTCCTTTCCGTTGCGCGGCTGTTCTTTCCGTCTTGCTGAGCTCCCTTCCGGGGTAGGTTGTGGTGCTGGTGCTGGTCGTGGTGGCCGTGACCTGCCCAGCGCTGCTCCTTCACCGGGGAAAAGCCGCCAGTTCTTTTTTTGGTTTAGTTCGGTGCCGAGCCTGAGGAAGTCGGCATGGATGCTCGCGCAGATGTTGCACGAGCGATGCTGCAGTTGTTTTTTTCGGGGATTCGATGGTGCGTGCCGGGTGCTGCAGCGGGCCTGGGGTGTGGGCTGCCGGTGCGAAGTGGCTCGTCTGTGACCTCACCTCACATCATCAGGTCACATGCGAGTCCAGGCGTCGGGGATGGCATCCGATGGGCTGTGCCGGGCAGGCGGGCGGCGCAGGTGGTTGTTGTTGGTGTTGTTGTGTGGCTCGTGTCTGCAGAATTGCCGTCGATGATCGATGGTGGTCGATGTAGACTTGATGTTTGATGCCTGTCTTGGTGCCAGCGGGTGTCAATCGAACCTTGGACTAGAGGGGTGGCCCTGGTCTGCTTTTGGTGATGCTTGCTTGCACGCGCTGGTGCCGGAAAACCGTGCTTGATGCCCCTGCCCATGTAAGCTTGACCAAAGAAAAAAAGAAACGAAAAAGAAATAAAATCAAACCAACCAAACGCAGTCTTGACCCTCTCCCCGTCCAGGCAAGCGTGCTCGATCGCACACCCTGTCTGCTCCAGGGATCTGGGATCGAACACACATTTAACATTGGACGGCCGACCGGCAGGGCTAAGTTAGCTCTGCCAACCGCCAAGCGGTGCTGAACAGGGCGTCGCTTTCGGGACTTTCCTGCACTGCTTGCCTGTGGCCGCGCCGGGAGTAGCAGTAGCTAGACAATGCACTCTCTCATTCATCGGGGCCAGCGAGGTCGGGCCGTTGACTGGCGTTAACTGGAGCACTGGCTCTTTGGAGGTGCTCTTGGGGTGCTGCATGCCGCCGAGCTTGGGTCTGGTCACACCAGACACCTCGCAGTGCGCTCCCTCACCCGCCCGTTGGCTGGCTGCCGCAGGCCCCTGGCTCTCAAGCTGGCACGCACGACTGGAGTCCGCAAAATCAAACCCTTCCCATCCATCCCTCCATCTCTTCAATTTTCTGGTCCTCGCTGCGCAAGCGCGCCACCACGCACAAGTAATCCACACTGCCGCTGCAAGCAATTCGTCCATTTCGGGGAGCTGTCCTCACCAGACTTGGCCCCTCCCCTCCATGTCATTGCCGCATGAGCATGCAGAGGGCCCCAACCAATTGAACATCCGCCTGACCTGGCGCATGACTTGCCCAAGTTAAGCTTCCCAAGCATGTCTCGACTTCCATGCGCCGGTGCTTCTTCTGGGAGGGGAGAGAAAAGCCGATGGTGCCCAACGACTTGTTTGGGCTTCTGCTGGCCTCTGGTATTCCACCATGCCAAGCACGCACCGCCAACAGAGATGCGAGAAGTGAGACCATGTCCCAAAATAGGCAGCCAACCCAGGAGTGCCAGGCGTGCTAGGTCAACCAGACTTGCACTGGCAAGAGGCTGAGGTGCGTTCCTAGACATGGCTGCAGGCGACCGTGGCTGGCAAAAGTGGCAGGCCCGGTCCGGATGGCGTCCAATCGCTGGTCTCTCAGATCCCGGGAGGCTTGCCAGCCTGGGAACCAGCTCTGCCAGCCTTCGCAAGGCGAGAGGTCCCGGTCGTCGAGCGCCGGGCTGGTGTCGATCCGTTCTAGGAAGGCTTCCAGACCGTCTCCCTTGGCCGTGCAGCACGGCGGCCGCCCAATCGAATCGCAGCAAGCCCTCCTCCGCGATCTCCTGTTCAGCTGCCACTCAGGAGCCTAAAAGGTGGGACGTGGCCGGCGGGCGCCCTCTCGTCTTCTCAGTGGTCGACGCTGGCCGACCTGCTCGCCAATGAGGCGCCGAGAACGAGGTCTCCGCCGTCACAAAGGACGGGCAGGGCCTGGTCGACACGCACTACCGGATCCCTGGGGCGAAGAGCCGCATCGCGTCGTTTTCGTTTCGTCTGGGGTCTGGGCGACTCGTCATTTCGGGGCTCGGGGCTGCGTGATGGCTCGCCGTGGTTGGGTGAAGGACAGTCGGTGCGTGTTGGTGATCGTCGCTCGAGCGCGGCCACAAAATGCCTGCCCCCGTCAAGCTCACAAACCATCGCGAACAAGATGTATTGAAATTCCCTCTCTTTGACTGCTTTTTCTTTCCTTCTACCCTCAATTCATCAACTACCTCCTCCGGTTCCCCCAAAGTCTTCAAGCGATGCCGCCTCGGCTGGTTTATGTACCCCGATGCAGTTCAGCGGCCCCCCAACTCCACTCAATTGCTGCACGATGTGCTGGCACCCACGACCGCTGCTCTGGGCCAGCGGGACGCCCCCAGGGCCCTCCGTGGCCCCCCATGGGTGACGAAATGCCGGGTTTGCCAGCCTTCGCCACGCCGTCGCGGCCCAACGTGCTGCACCGGTGAAGCGGACAGCCGTCTAGAAACCAGCTTTCATCACGTCACTGCCGCATCCCTTCGGGCACACTTGCGCCGCCGGTGGTGGTTAGCTTTGTGACCCTCGCGCGCGTGTGCGAGCGCAGGACATGCCGTGCGAGGCAGGTGGCAGCGGCAGCCCTATCGGTTGCGACTATAACGTGTGCTCTGCGGCGGGATAGTGACCGTCTCGCTCCAGATCGGTTGCGTTGCGGCGCACAACCCCTCCAACCTTGTCAGTCTGTGCCACGATCCTCCAGAACTGGCGGTGAGGGAAACCCGGTTTGGCTCCCCGGCTTTGCGGGAAACATTGGGTACCCATTCCGGCCGGTCGTATACGGAGTTCCCCGCCCGAGCCTGCTCACGGCTTGTGGGGAAAGGTTCCGGTTGATTCTGCCGGAATTCGGCTTCCATGGCCTCGATTCTCATCTGGCCTGGGTATATCACAGGCGATATGATGAAGATGGAGTCATGTTTGATTTGCAACTGAACATGTGCATCCTTTGCGTGCCAAGATCCGGGCTTGGCCAGGGACTTGTCGCTGGAGGCATCTATACCAGGCTAAGAAAAAAACGTGTCCTTGGTTAACCCTATTGAATTTCCACACCTTCGTGTTCTCTCCTCCTTCTTTCATATTTCTGTTTAGCAAGGTATGCTGCCCGACAGGCTCGCTGGACAGATGACATACGTGGATGTAGCGGTGTACTAAACATAGGCCGGGATGGTATACACATGTCACGATCCTGGCCTTGCCAGTTGGCTACCTAGGTTTCTGGGCTACTTGTATATCAAGCGCCTTGGAACCCGGCCGAACACCCGGGCTACTTGCACTAGTTCAGGGCCACGATTGCCAGGTTTAGATAGAGCCAATATTTCTCACGCAGCTCTTACGCATTGGGGCAACTACAGCTCCCGGCTGGTTTTTGTTATTCCTACAGTCCATGCAAATTGCAATCTTGCAACACCTCTCTACCCAACGGCCAACAGGATCTTTGGAAGACCCAACCAGCTAACTTGGGTACTATATCATTGGTGGATCCCCCCTCCGGGAATTAGGAGTATATCTTAACATGTCAATGGATGTTGTCTGTGGAATCGGGCAGTGGCAGAGGTTGACGGAAGGCGCGGATTACGGGTGAAGCTGCTCACTGGCTGATCTGTCGCTGAATTTGAGGTGCAAGTCGCTGTTTCCACCGCTATACGCGAGGTTGGACGGCCGGCTAGGGACCCTGGACAGCGCCTAATCGGGCCCGCCTATCAGTTTACCCGCAAATGGGCCGAGGCTTTTGGGACATCGGAGTGGCCAATGCGCATTTTCCTGTGATCCTGGCGCTGGGGAAAGAGCTGTGCGTGCGGCCTTCCGCTCCAGAGTCGTTCTCGTGGCTGAAGTCTCCCAAGCCAGAACCTCGCCCAAGTCAAGCATTTCCAATCCCACTGACTCCGGCCTTTTGTTCCGGCGGCGCTGGGACAAGTTGCTGCGTACGCCGCCTGGGACCCATGGAAGTGGCGACTCCTGCAGCACCCATAATTTCCCCTGCAGTTTCGCAGCGCGCGCCCTAGCTCGTCTGCCCGACTTTGGGGAACCAGTCCTCCCTCCGCTCCGCGTTCGCCGCCACGACACGACCCGCCAAACCTCGTCAACCGAAACAGCCCGCGACCCTCCAGCGAGCTGACATCGCGCCCGTCATGGGCGACCGCGCTGGCCCCAATCCGCACGCGCCCGAGATTCTGAACGGAGCTGAGCCGGCTGTGAACGGGCACGGAAGCCGCGCCGTCAAAATGGAGAGAAGCTCGTCGGATCCGACCACGGCAGCCCTGCGAGCCGACACTTCCAGCCCCATGGACGAGGATGCAAAAAGCGCATCAAAAAGCGCGGGCGCATCGCCGCCGGACGCCGAGTCCGCGCCCAAACCGTTGCGAAAATCCTCCAAAGCCTCCGTCTCGCGCCCGCCCATACTGTTCAGTAACCTCCCCGATGCTACCGAAGAGGCCTCTCGCGGCTTCGCCGTTCTGAGCGACTGCGTCTACGCCTCCAAGGCCTTGGGAAATTCGGATCAAGAGACGCTTGATTGTGACTGCGAAGAGGAGTACCGTATGCATTTCCCCCAATGCCCATTCCCGTGCCGACTCGAGGCCCCCCCGTAAAACTCACCGGCATAGTTGGACTGACTGTTGGGCCTGCTAGGTGATGGCGTCAATCATGCTTGCGGGGATGACTCGGACTGCATCAACAGGCACACAAAGATTGAGTGCGTGGGTGGAAACTGTGGAGAGGGCTGCCAGAACCAGAGGTTCCAGGCCAAGCAGTACGCCAAGGTCTCGGTCATCAAGACAGAGAAGAAGGGCTTCGGGCTGCGTGCCGATACGGACCTCGATGCCAACGACTTCGTCTTTGAGTACATCGGCGAGGTCATTGGCGAGGAGCTCTTCCGCCGGCGGCTGATGAAGTACGACGACCAGCGCCTGGAGCACTTCTACTTCATGTCCCTGACAAGAACCGAGTACGTCGACGCCACCAAGAAGGGCAACCTAGGCCGCTTCTGTAACCACTCGTGCAACCCAAACTGCTTCGTGGACAAATGGGTGGTCGGCGACAAGCTGCGGATGGGCATCTTCGCGCTGCGCGCCATCAAAGCTGGAGAGGAGTTGTGTTTCAACTACAATGTCGACAGGTATGGCGCCAACCCCCAGAGGTGCCACTGCGGAGAGCCCAGCTGTAGCGGTACTCTTGGCGGCAAGACTCAGACCGAGAGGGCGACCAAGCTGCCTATGGCCATGGTCGAGGCCCTTGGTATCGACGACGGCGACCATTGGGAGTCGAGTGTGGCCAACAAGAAGCCGCGCAAGAAGCGAGCCAACGAGACGGAGGAGGAGTACGTCAACAGTATCCAGTCGCGGGAACTCGAGGACGGCGAGGTTGGCGTGGTCATGTCCTCTCTGCGCTCATGCAAGGAGAAGTGGATTGTCGGCAAGCTCCTCGAGCGCCTGCAGAACGTTGAAGAGGATCGTGTTCTCGGCCGCGTCGTTAAGCTCCACGGCTACGAGTATCTCAAGACCACACTCAACACCTTCAAGGACGACAATGGTATCGTGCTGCAGGTACTGGATATCCTCTACAAGCTACCACGCATGACGCGCAACAAGATCGACGATGCCAAGATCGAGCCCATCGTTGTCGAGCTGTCCTCGAGCGAGCATGACGAAGTGTCTAGGGACTCGAAGCGACTGCTGGATGAGTGGAAGACGCTACAGGTTGGATACCGGATACCACGCGCCAAAGTGGACCGGAACGCGGCGAACACGGCCAGCTCGCTCTTTGATGATCGCCGCCAGCAGGCTCGGGAAGCGGCCGCCGCGCCCACTCCGAAAGCTCCATCGCCTATCAGGAACGCTCCTACCGGGCCCAGGAACAGCCAGCCTCAAAGGAACCCCCACTACGTGGCGCCGCGGCGTCGGGCCCCGCCTCCGAGGGACAACACGCCGCTGCCAGCCGGCTGGCGCTCGGCCATAGATGAGAACACCAAGCGCTGGTACTACTGGGAGACGGCGAACCCAGACCAGAAGTCCTGGGTGCGCCCCTCGACCGAAGCGGCCAAAGTCACAGTGGCAATGGAAGCCCAGAGGATACAGGACATAATCAACCAGTGTCGGCAGCCGACGCCGAAGCCCATCTCCGCCGCGCAGACGCCGCAAGCGGCCGGCACACCAGTTGCAGAGGCCAAGAAAGACAGGTGGCGATCGTGGCCTGTCGAGAAGCAGCGGAAGCTGTACGAAAACACGGTAAGCTCCCCAGAGAAAGCACCTGCTGGAAATGCCAACGCAACTGCCTTGTGTGTATTGGTGCTGACTTGTGCTCCAGATCTTCCCTCAAATCAAGCACGTGGCGGACAAGTTTTACAAGAGGTTGCCCAAGGAGGACTTGAAGAAGTTCGTCAAGGAGATCAACAAAAACCTCGCCGCATCCGACTATAAGCACGGCCGCGTCGACGATCCCTCTAGGATCAGCGAGCGACAGGAGTCCAAAGTCAGGAAGTATACGCGTGATTTCCTGGAGAAGGCAGTCAAGAAACACGAGCAGTGGGCGGCCGAGCGGACGGGCCGGAAGACGAGGGATCAGGCCGGTGAAGAGCCAAAGGCAGCAACTGGGCGTCTCGACGCCGGTTCCAGGCCACCATCGACGGGGGCCTCACCGATGCCGGACAAGGACGTCGTCAGTGACGTCGACGCGCATCTGGACAGCCCTGGGTCGCCGTCAGACCTGAAGCGCAAGCGGTCCAGCGAAGACGATGCCGAGTCAATGGTGGATGAGTTGACTCCTGGCGAAACGCCCTCGCTCAAGAGGCTAAGAGAGGGCGATGTGGAGGCGCCGAGCCCGCCGCCGCCACCAACCCCTCCGCCTCTCGAGGACCTGGACGATGCAGTGATGATCGAAGAAGTAGCCGCGGAGAAGAGGCTGCAGGAGCACGAGGATGCGCTCGTGCGTGAGAATGAGGAGGCTAAACAGTTGCAGCTGGACGCGGCCGAGCAAGCGCGCCTACGAGAGCACGAAGCGGCGCTGGAGCGTGAGAACCAGGAGGCGCTGATCGCTCTGCAAAATGAGAGACGAGACGAGGATGCACACATGACCAATGGCAATATGACCAAGCTGGATGCCGTCGCCATGGACCTGGATGGGGTAGGCGGCGGTGGCGACGGTACCTCGAACCTGGGAATACCTTCGAGGAAACGTGAGGTTCTCGGGCACTGAACTCCCCAGCGGCTTGAACTCGCGACAACTTCCTTGCCAGCCGATTGCATTCAGCATTTGCTCCGCGTGTGTCGGTTCCGAGCATTATCACGCCGCTTCCTGTCGACTATTTTTCTCTGGCATCTTTACATCATCTGCATTTTTGTTCTTTGTTATCTCGGCAGACCAGCTCCCACGTCTCGGTGGCTCAAGAACGTGCCATTTTATTACATTCTGAACTGTATACCATCCATCGGCGCCGGATTTCCTATTTTATTTGCATTTTCGCGGAAAATCACAGCTCGCCTCCAGCTGCAGGTGGCACCTGTGAAATGCACTCGCCACTCGACCATCTCGATTCTACCAATGGACCGAACGGCAGCTTTCCTTTTGGACGCACTGCGACGAAAAACAAAGAAAGCAAAGTCACTTTGATCTGTACATATTACGCGCCGGCATTTTGCATACATATTTGTCCCTGTCTTTGTTTCTTTTGGCCCGTCATCCTCCTGGACCCGGTAGCTCTCGCGTGGCTTTCAGGCGCGCCGTGCTGAAAGTACGCTTGTGGAATGGGGCCTGTTAATATGGGGAGGCGAGGGGAAAAAGACGGGGTGCGTGAGAAAGAGGTCACGCGCAACGCGTCGGAAGCTCTTGCGAGCTCCGTTGCTCGCTATGCACCTGCATCTCTCATGCCCATCGCCGGTCGGGACCCCACCATTCCTGCATTTCTTGGTTGGTGCGGTCTCGAAAGGAGACGAGATGCGAGGACTGGGGCAAGTAGCACAGGGGAGGGGAGGGAGTTGGAGAAGATGGAGCAAACAGCAGTTGGTGGGAGAGGTGGTGTTTTGCGGGGAGTTTTTTTATATGGACCGTTCCTCTGTTTCTTTTCGGATGCTGTGATCGAGGCGAATACGAAGAAGAATCGAGAGGAAGGAGGCGACGCCGTTGACGAAAGGGGCATGGGGTTTGAACGCTTGAGGTCCAGAACAGGGGTGCGTTGCTGTTGTTCCGCCTGTCGAGTCTGGCCGTGCTCAGTTGATGTCCACGGAGCCGGCGTCGAAAGCGGTGGGAATGCTGGCCTTTCTCCTTCTCTGTTTTCCCATTCTTCTGCGCATGTCTCCTGTCGTCGTCTTCCCTTCCCCTACTTTTGTTATCTTGCATTTGCGCATTTCCATCCCCCCTTGCATCACTGGCGTACCATGGGCAGGTGGATGGAGAGCCCAGATGTGATGGCGTGCTGCCTCTGGCGTCGATGGTTTTTTTTTTCTTAAATTTTTTTTCTTTATGTTGGTTTTGGTATTCTCTCCCCATGATACCGACTCGGTGGTCATTTCTTTGGCATCATTTCTTCGTCCATGTTTGTTTTTGTCGTTAAGAGATACCCGGGGGATAAGCCCCATTTCCATCAAGCATTTATGTTCAAGACATGGCCGGTGCGCTACCCAGCATATTTTCACACATTGCCAGCCGAGGTTCTGACAAGGCCAATTAGAGTCCCTGTAACCTCTTTGTTCCCATGTTCTTTCGTGTCTTGTATATCCCGTGTCATATTCCCACATCATTTCCCTCTCTCCGTCCCCAAAACAGCGTCGGCGCCAACGAATCGCCCGATACAAAGACCCATCAGCGCCTCACCCCCTCGCCCGACATCTCGGAAGGGTACAGGTCCGGTGTGTAAGCCTGTGCCGCCATGTGGTCCGGCAGCTCGCTCGCCAGCGGCGGAGCTCCGCCTTCCCGTCTGCGAGGTACGACGGCTGCCCCTGATGCCCGCGCGCGAACGCTCTGACGCCGCAGCTCGAGCCCCCCGGCGGCGGCACTTGACAAAGAGCCACGCGGCGAACGCCATGGCCAGCACCGCGACCACGCCGACGACGATGGCCGCCATGATGCCGGCCGAGAGGCCGCCTTCCGGAGGCTGGTTGCCGCCTGTGTTGGCGGGGCCGGGGGCGTTGGCCGTGCTGGTGCCGCCGGTGTTGGTGGAGCCAGGGGGGCTGGATGTGCCGGTGTCCACCGTCCTTGATGGTGGTGTCACGCCGGGAGAAAGGGGGTGAGTCTGTAGGACGGAGAGATCTGACGATTGCCAGCGAACCTGGATCATCGGGGCGATGTCGCTGAGATTCTCTACTGTAGTTGGGCCGCCGCTTCTGAAGGCGATGCTCGCTTCGTTTGTCCGACAAATAAGCCCACTTGGGCAAAGGCAAGACGGACAGTTTTGAAATGTGATATACTCCCGAAAAGCAGTCACGGACAGCCCGGTGTTTTTGGAACTTACAGGGGAGCACAATGAATGGCAAATTCCCCGGGTAGTAGGGCTGGACCTTGGATGGAGGAATAACGTCCACATGCCGAGGTAAACTGCGGAAAACGTGCCGACATGTTAACATACATTGTCAACCTGGCACCAGGAAATGGTAGGGGGTGAACATTGCTTACCCCAGAGGGACATATGGCGGGCGAGGAGTATCCGGTGCCGCCGATCCAGTATGAGTAGGAATAGCTGGGTGGGTAACAATAATCGAACTTTTCGCTCTGACTGTAGTTGATGGTGGAACATTTCGATGGCGGCATCCACACGGTTGTCAATGCGCCCGCCGGAGGACGCCTGACCGTCCAAGTGGTAGCAGTGCCTGCCATGGTGGCCTTGCCGGCAGGGAGGTTGATATAGAGATGGGCGGGAAAACCCCCTCCCATGCGCAAACAAGTCAACACATGCATCTTCGCTCGACGTCGATCAACGAGGCACGGTTTGTTGCTTACCCCTTATGGGCAGATGGCGGGCGAGTAGTAACCAGCGGTGCGGCCTATGTAGCCTCCAAGTATTTCGTCGGTAGACACCTAGACTCGCTCGAGGCTATTGTGGAGGCTTGGATACCATTACAGGCCGGATGTGTTGTGAATATTCTCATTAATGAATGTGCTGGGCCCGTGCCGCTATGAAGTGTACACGAGATATTAGCAGACGTTGTAACACTGGTCTTTATGTGCTACTTTGTTGAAGCTGAAAATGGGAATGAATCTCTTGTAGTAAATATTCGGGTTTCTTCACGAATGGTAGAGAAGGGGTAATAGGTGAAGAATTCTAAATCTTTATTGCGCAACAGACGACCTGTGGGGGGCAGCTAGAAGCATACGTTGTACACACCTATCAAGCGAGGGTGCAGCATAAAATCGAAACAAACCTCCCGCAAAGGCTCTCGCTGGCTTGATGGTGTCAGCTCATTTCCGATGGTTTACATTGCCATACCCAAGCCTAACCACAAGCGGGTGTATAAAATCTGCACTTCAGGGGCCGGGTTAGGATCGGGATCAAGGCTGCCCAAGAGAAACGATTGGGATCACGAGGCGATGCTGCACAGAGATACGGAAAGAAGGCTGTGATAGCTGTGGTGTCAGTCGAGTTGATCGAAATTGGGGTATAGAAGAAGTTTGTCTGCAAACTTTGCAAGAACTCTTTCATGACAGATAGATCCTGACCGCTTTCACAACAGGGTGCGGAAGTGCAAGAGGGTACAAAGGGGGTAGCTGATTCCCCACAGGAGGCTAAGGTGCAATACACGCAAGAATAACACCCGAAGATAGGGAGCATAGGGGTCGTGGATGGCATTACAATCAAAATCAAGCAGCGGCAGCACCGTTGACGCTGTTGGACTCGAGCCTGTTGACCAGTTTCTTGACCGTGGTCCACTCCTCACTGCGCAAGTTCTCCTTGCCGCCCAAGTCCGGTCCGACCTCGAACACGGTGAGGTTGCCCGAAATACCGCCGGCGGCCAGGCGCCGGCCCTCGGACGGTTCCCACGCTACTTTGTTGAGACTGTTGGCTAGCATGGTGCGTCCATCCTTGCGCTGGCTCGGGCTGATACGCGCCACCGGCTCCTCCGTCTCGACTGTCAGGTCCCAGAGCTCGAGCCAGCCTGCGCCGTCGACGAGCGAGAACACGCCCGGCTTGACGGGCGACCACGCCGCGTCATATACAACATCCTCGCGTACGAACTCCATGAGTGGTGTCACGGTGCCGTCGCCAGCGGCGCCCAGGCCGCCGAGCCCGCCCGCTGGTGCCCCGCTCAACGCTGCCGGGGCTCGGACCTTCCACAGCTTGACGCTCCAGTCTAAGCTGCTCGACAACACCAGGTCGCCGAGGTCCATGGGTCCCCGAGCCGGGTGGAAGTCAACCGACATGATTGGCGCCGAGTGTCCGCGATAGCTGACGCGGGCGTCCACACCTGCCTTGGCGCCAGCGCGGTCGTAGCGATGGCAGGGGAATATGACGCCCTCTTCGGATCCGACAAGGAAGTAGGTCGGGTCGGTCTGCGGGAACGCCATGCACGTGGGGCTCAGGTCGTCCGTCTTGGCTGGCGGAGGCGCCGCCAGCGCCAGAGTCTCCTGCGGCTGGGCCAACATATCGACAGACCAGCCGAAAACAGCGCCGTCGGTTGAGCAGCTGATGATGTTGTTGGCGTTCTGCGTGCCTACAATATCAACCGAGTACACAGGGTGCGAGTGCCCGTAGCCCGTCAGGGGGGTCTTCTGCACAGGCGCCGCCCGCGCCCGCGTGTCCCAGAGGAGCACCTGGCCGCTGTACGCCCCGCCGACGATCAGGTTTGGATGGAAGGGCGAGAATTTGGCTGTCAGGATGTCTGACTGGGCGTGGAACACAAACTCGGGCCGGTCGTGCAGGTTCAGACTCCACACCTGCACTATACCGTCCGGGTCGTGGGGGGCGGTAGGGTTCTTGGTGTACGAAGCCAGAAGGAGGTCGGGGAACTTGGGTGAGAAGTCGATGGATGTGATCATGCGCTTCTTAGACCATCGGTTGTCGAAGAACTGCCGGACCTCCTTGACCTTGCGACGCCCCCTGCCGCCCACGTTGCCCTGCTCGTCCTCGTCGTCGATCTCGTGTGCGTTGAGCTTGTAGTCGGTGAGAATGTCATACTCCTGGTCTAACGCCTTCTCAATCACTTTCGTCGCGCGGTCCACAAAGTCGACAAACTCGTCAGAGGCCGTCACGGCCTTGAGCTCCTCGTTTGTCAGTGACCTTGCCGGGTAGTTTGTGGTCAAGGCAGTCGGCTTCAGCACACCGTCCGTGGCGAGCTCCTGGGCCGCCTTGAGTTCCTCTTCCAGCTCCCTCCTGATGTTTGCCCGCAGCTCTTCCTCCCTGTCACGCTCTCTGCGGCTCAGACGTTTGCTGGGCGAGGCCGTGATATCTTCGGGCTCGGACTCTGAGATGGCCCGTGGGCGTGTGGTTGGGGGCGCCCAGTCGTCTTGAGTCTGGACGCCCTTGCTGTACGAGAAGATCTCCTTAACGGGAGAGGGCGGGCACTCGTAGATGGTAGTCAAGGGGACGGTCGTGAGAACCTGCATAGGGGTGGGGGCGGCGGAGCCATTTCCGGGCGTCGCGTATTCCGAGTTCTCATTGCTGAGCTCGCCGGCGCTCAGGACACTATTAGGGCGGCTGCCGCGCGGGCCCGGTGAGGCGGCACCGCCCGTGGTTGTCGACGACGGGCGGTCTCCTACCAGACGCTCGATAAAGAGGTCGAGGTCTTCGCGCTCGCGGCCGGAATTGTGTAGAGGCGGAATGGCATGCTATCGTCCTTCGGTCAGCCCAGGGCCCCGCAAACGACACGGTCGTCACCTCGTCGCCGTCGGGCGCAGATGTTGCAAAGGGGCAAGTACGTCACTAGTGGTGGCGATCCCGATGCTCTGGCGGCTCGAAGCCTGTTCTGTCCGTGCCCTCCTCTTCTCCTTGAGCTCGGCGAGCTTTGCTTTCTTGGCAAGGATCTCATCGCGTCGTTGTTGCATTTTGCCGGGGTGAGAATGGCTTCATCGCCGGCGCGATCGCGTGCTTCAGAGCTGCGGCTCGGTCCGGTGGGGGCGACGCTTGCTGTCGAAGCGCGGATCGAGCCTGCAAGGCGACTTGGGCCGCCAAGCGAGCAGTGTTGGGGAGCAGGAAGAAGCAGGACTTTGAGGTGCCAGCAATAAATGTCGAAAATGAATGTTTATGCGTCTGACGCGCTGTCTGAGATGGAGACAGGTTGGCAAGTAAGAGGCAGGTAGGCGCCTAAGAGGTAGCCTGAGATTCTTTGTTGGCTCACATGAAATTGGCCGTCGCTCCTGAACCAAGCATTCCCATCAATGACACCGAACGCCTGCTGGACTGGCGGTCCACCATGATGATGGGTGGGTCAGGTCCGCTAGTGCCGACAAGGGTGATGGTGCGACTGCGGCGCTCAGGTGATGGGTCAGGTGATGGGTCACGTTCCTGTTCCGCCCGGCCGTTTGTCCTTCAGTAATGATGCCCGCCCGCCCAACTGCTGAGCCACCTGTGATTGGACCCACAATCTTGGAGCCACCGACTTCTCGAGCTTTGCTGGGCTGGAGCTCCTCACTAGCCGCAGGTTTTGCCGGCTGGCGAAAAATCCCGACAGTACAGACAACGTTTACACCTCCACCATAATCGAACCTCGATCGCTGCCAGGGCCAATTGACGCCAATTGACGTCCGACGCACCGAGCTCTGCATCTCCTCCATCCTCGGTCTCCGTCGCGATCAGTTCAGGCGTCGCCATGTCTACCACCAACGTACGTCGCTTGTCGCGGGACAGACCATGTCCAGTGCATTTTTCAGCCCCTCGCACGCGAGCTTCCCCGGCGGCCCAGCCCGACCATGGTCGCCCGACCACCTTGTCCACGACGAACCCTGGCCGGACTGCGCTCTGTGCCTAGCCGAAGGAAATGCGAGCACGGAGAGTGCATGGAAGCCCTGGGGGCTGGAACTCTTTGCTGATGGAGCGATAATCCCGCAGGTCCTTCGGTACACGGCGCTGGGGCTGGGTGTTCTCTACGGCTTCTCCCACCAGAGGAAGATCACGTCGACCCAGAAGACTGCGGCGGCACGTCACGAGTACGAGCACAAGCAGCACTTAATAGAGCAGGCCAAGGCCGAGTTTGCCAAGAAGTCGAGCCCTGCGGCGGCAGCTGCATCGAGCTCTGGTGAGAAGTCCCTATGGCAACGTCCAGTACTTCGAAACCGCGACTAACACATGCCCCTACCGCAGTGAACACCGATTTCAACAACCCAAAGTTCGACCTGGAGGCATACCTCAACGATGTGTTCCAAAAGAACCCTTAATGAACGGCCGCATCGCCGGCGACGGCTTGAGCGAGGGGGAGCTTATAGGGCATAGGACCTCAATGGGGGTCCGGGCGGGCCGACGAAGGTGACGAGACCTGAATCCGAAGTCACGATTGCCGCCAGCGCGGTCAGCAAAATGACGTGCGCCGTACAGCCCAACCATAAGAGGGGGCCACGACGACTTGTCCCTCTTGCGGGGAGAAAGTCGGTTGTATGATTCTCTGGGCTCGTGGGTATCGACGTCGACACAGCATAGACGCATTTCCTTAGTTATTGTCCTTTGACGCACTATAAATGTGTACAATACAAAACTTAGATGGTTGTTTACGCGCGGGCGTCTAACAGGCGGCAGAAGACGACGTCACATACGCCCATGTCAGTTCGCGTTGGAGAGAGTTGGATATATAAAAAAGGTGGCCAGTGGGATACCTCCTTTCCCATGGCTTAGACAGGCGGATCTAATATCTAGGTATGCTTCCCTTGGTATGGTGGGAAATCTATCATTCGTCATAGTATGAGTCCTCCATAGCCGTCGACGCGATAGTCCAAAATGTCTGTTGCAGCCCAAGCAGGAGCAGCAAGACGGGCATCAATGTCCTCTCTAATATCCATATGACATGGTCCGTGCATGGCGCAATTCAATTCGCGACCTGGCGGTGCGACTGGACCCACTCGGCACTGACGACACGCAGCGAACAAGGACCTCGACCCCTGCAGCTCCTGATGCGTGTCAATTCAGGTCTGGGTGGGAGCTCCAAAGTGTCCTCTCCAGCTTCACACGAAGCGGCGAGAGAATCGCAGCACCACAACTAGACCTCCCCCACCACCCGGCCTCTGGACAGGACGACGCCCCCAACGGACCAGAGGATCTCGACGCGACTGCGGAGGGCCACGATGTCGGCCGGAACCCTGGACATCTTTGGCAGCAAGGGCGAGAGCTTCCGGACCCTGCTGCGTGTCATTATTCTCTTCCTGATCGCCGGCGCTGCTATTTCCAGTCGCCTGTTTTCCGTCATCCGTGAGTCTACGCAAATGCTGCATGCTGTGCCCGTCGAGACGGTTGACTGACCAATTGCTTCATTTCTCCCACATTAGGTTTCGAGAGCATTATCCACGAGTGTTAGTTGCCCCCCTCCTCTCTGCGCCTTGAGCCCCAGAATACCGAGCCTCTCCTCCCTGCCCTGCTCCTCCTCCCACTGTCGCACCGCGCACCGCACTCCTCGACCACTAATGCCCCGCCCATAGTCGATCCGTGGTTCAACTTCAGGGCAACAAAGTACCTAGTCGCCAATGGCTTCTACGACTTTTGGGACTGGTTCGATGACCGCACTTGGCACCCGCTGGGCCGTGTCACGGGCGGCACACTGTACCCTGGTCTGATGGTGACGAGCGGCGCCATCTGGCACGCCCTGCGCGCACTCTCGGTGCCCGTCGACATCCGGAATGTCTGCGTCATGCTGGCGCCCGTCTTCTCGGGCCTAACAGCCTTCGCCGCCTACCTGCTGACCAATGAGATGACGACCAACTCGGCGGCCGGTCTCCTCGCCGCCGCCTTCATGGGCATCGCCCCCGGCTATATCTCGCGCTCCGTCGCGGGCAGCTACGACAACGAGGCCATCTCCATCTTCCTGCTGGTCTTCACCTTCTATCTCTGGATCAAGGCCCTCAAGCTCGGCTCCATGCTCTGGGGTGCTCTCTGCGCCCTCTTTTACGGCTACATGGTGGCATCGTGGGGCGGCTACGCCTTCATCACCTGCCTGCTGCCCCTGCACTCATTTGTCCTGATCTGCATGGGCAGGTACAGCACCCGCCTCTATGTCTCATACACCACTTGGTACGCCCTCGGAACTCTGGCTAGCATGCAGATTCCTTTTGTTGGGTTCTTGCCGATAAAAACGAGCGAGCACATGCCGGCATTGGGTACGTCATATCGGCTCATGGCCTCCCCCGCCTCCCCTAGGCTCGCTCGGTTTACTGATGCGCACATGCACACGCACATACAGGAATCTTTGGCTTCCTCCAGCTGATGGGCTTCCTGGACTACGTCCGGGCCGCCATCCCTGGCCGCCAGTTCCGTACTTTCCTGGTCATCTTCTCAGCCGCCGTATTCGCGGTTTCCCTGTTGGGACTTGTGGTTGCCACCACGGCCGGATACATTGCTCCTTGGGGTGGCCGCTTCTACTCGCTCTGGGACACCGGCTATGCCAAGATCCACATCCCCATCATTGCGTCCGTCTCGGAGCACCAGCCCACTGCCTGGCCCGCCTTCTTCTTTGACCTGAACTTCCTGATCTGGCTGTTCCCCGCAGGTGTCTACCTCTGCTTCCAGAACCTCCGTGACGAGCATGTCTTCATCGTCGTCTATGCCATCTTCGGCAGCTACTTCGCCGGAGTCATGGTCCGTCTGATGCTCACCCTGACCCCTGTGGTCTGCGTCGCGGCTGCCATGGCGGCCTCGCAGATACTGGACTCGTTCCTGTCTCTCAAGACGCCCAATACCGCGACCTCGGGTGCCGACGAGGGCTCGGAGGAGTCGTCCAAGAAGGCTGCCAAAAAGGGTGGTCTGAGGTCGACCAGCAGGCCCATTGTTGGCATCTACAGCTTGATCTCCAAGGGGATCGTCACTCTTGCCATGACTGTGTACCTGCTCCTGTTCGTCATGCACTGCACATGGGTCACTTCCAACGCGTACTCGTCGCCTTCAGTTGTGCTAGCCAGTAGGATGCCGGACGGCAGCCAGCACATCATCGACGACTATCGCGAGGCGTACCAGTGGCTGCGACAGAATACGAAGGAGGATGCCAAGATCATGTCGTGGTGGGACTACGGCTACCAGATCGGCGGCATGGCCGACCGCCCCACCCTGGTTGACAACAACACGTGGAACAACACGCACATTGCGACCGTCGGCAAGGCCATGAGCTCGCGCGAGGAGGTCAGCTACCCCATCATGCGCCAGCACGAAGTAGACTACGTCCTGGTCGTGTTTGGCGGCCTCCTGGGCTACTCGGGCGACGATATCAACAAATTCCTCTGGATGGTCCGCATTGCCGAGGGCATCTGGCCCGAGGAAGTCAAAGAGCGGGAGTTCTTCACCAGCCGTGGCGAGTACCGTGTTGACGACGAGGCCACGGAGACCATGAAGAACAGCTTGATGTAAGCCACTCCTCTCGCAATGTCCCGAGTCGTGTTCGTTTTACTGACCCCCTGGCAGGTACAAGATGTCGTACTACAACTACAACAACCTCTTCCCTCCCGGACAAGCCCAGGATCGTGTTCGCGGTTCTCGTCTGCCCGATGTCGGACCGACCCTCAACACGCTCGAGGAGGCGTTCACGAGCGAGAACTGGATCATCCGCATCTACAAGGTCAAGGACCTCGATAACTTTGGCCGTGACCATGCTGCGGCCGCCGCGTTTGAGCGTGGACACAAGAAGAAGAAGATGCTCAGGAGGAAGGGTGCCCGCCAACTCAGGCTGGACTGATTGCAACTTTTGGAAAGTTGCAGTGGCTCTCCTAATGATATGTGCCAAAAAGAATGCCCTGGTAGAATCCCAAGAGGATAAAGGGGGGCAGACGGGATATCAAAAAAGTACATGGAAAAGGGCAAGGGCATGGGCAGGGATAGAAGCCGAGAGCTAGTGAGCTATATCAGATTTCCCTTGTGTTTGTACTACCGACCATTTTTGCTAGTTCACGATGAGATTAGTCGATCAGGCCGCATAGAGATCTCGGTTCCCAATGAAAAGTTGAAAGGAAAAAGAAGCCTTGCCCCCAGCCCGGCGGGGCCAGGCTTGTAGTGACCTCAAGTTGATGTGAGCAGTCAGTCCTTTGGCCGGGTTCAAGGACAGCATGCCGTATGGCTCAGGAGACAGGTATCAACTTTCTCCACTTTATTTCCCTCGTGGCCATCAGTTCACATGCTCCTCACCATGCCTTCACCTCTTTCTCAGATACTTGGTCTTGATATATGAAGCACCCGTCTGAACTTTTAAAGGGGAGTCAGCAAGCTGGTTGCGGGTTCTTCAGTCCCAAAGCCCCGCTTGAGGTCGTCCTCTTTCTTTCCCTTCTCCCAACCCAACTCTCGGATCTCGCCGCCACTACAACGAGACTTCCCCGGTCTTCGCACCTGTTTTTGATTCTTTTATGCCCTAATATTGCAAAATCGCCATAATCTTCTTCCTTTTCTGTCTTCAACCACTGGTCAACCTGTTTACTGGCGTCTTGCCACCCAACCCCCAGCTTTCGTCTTGTTTGATATGTTTTGAAATCTCAGCATGCCCTCCTCGCGCCAAGCCAAGGACGCCGCCGAACGGTAGGCTACAGCTTCTTCAATCGATCCTCACCATCTGAACCATTTGAAACCCAACGGCTGACAGAATCTTCCGTCGAACAGACAACCACGCTACATCGAGCTAGATATCCGCAAATCCGGACGGACAGTGACGGTGTGCCTTGGTCGTGGCAAATCTAATGAGTCGCCTGAGATGGCAAAGTCTTCGCCGGCATCGAAACCTGGCATGACGCGCTTCGAGGCTGCCTCAAAGGCCGCCCAGGCGTGGAGGAGCACGTCGTCATCTTCTGTCACTTCTCGTTCATCGCGCTCTTCGCGAACAACCACCTCTTCCATCAGGCGGGCGCTCCGTTTCGGAAGCTCTCCAGCCACAGACATCCCCCCTAATGATGCATCTCCGTCGATAACCGCATCTAGAAAACAGAACCGCGGCGCACCTCCCTTGCCGGCGACGAAACTCTATGATCGTGAGGCGGATCACGAGCGCGGACGAAACCTGGACCTGAATAGCGACACTCACGATGATAGCCGTACTGAGAGCTGTAACGGTACCCTCAAAAGCCCTGCTCAATATGCTCCAAAGCCGGACACGCCTGTGGGTGGTGAAAAGTTGAGCCTTCGAGATCGTCGCCGACGCTCTCGTTCAACGAACCGCCAAGGAAAAGATGACGAGAACGGCCGGAGCCAGAAGGCAATGCCCACGCCGGCGTTCATGCAGCAGCACCAGCACCCAACAGGAGTAGGAGTAGCACAGAGCGTACCAGGTGTGCCCAGCGGCATCCTGCAGCAGCCTGTATACTACATCAACCAGCCCCAACCCGCCAACGACAGCTGCGCTCCTCAGTTCTACTATGCCCAGCATCCCGGTCACCACTTCACTGGACCTATGGTATCGCCAAACTACCAACCCGTACAGAATGCATTCGCACTTCAGGCTCCTTTCCCCACTCAGGCGATTCCGCAGCCGCCCCCTACGCCGTTCACTCCGGCTGCCTGGCCTCCAAACACTGGACTGGCACCCCCTTCTGCGACATCTTCGGGCAATGGCCACGCTTTACAGATACAGGTGCCACAAGTCGTCGTCTACACCTCGAGCAACTCCCCAGCCACTCAGGCGGTGACACCATCGTGCACACACGCCCCGTGCCCAAGCCCAGTGACCACGAGCAGGAGCAACAGCGAACTGTACAAGCCGGCATCATCCTCGGTTTCCCGCCGGGATGCGCACAGCGGACGGTCCAAGGCCAGCACCGAGTCGACTTTCAGGACCGGCCGCGGTGGCGCCCGCATGCTAGCGCCGCTGAGCAGGCACTACTTCTGCTTCGGCTGCGGCCGGGTCCGGTCCAAGAGATTTCATCTGCAGAACCCGCTCAGGCCGGACCAGAACCCGGACGCCAACTACTGCGCCAACTGCCGCCGCCAACACGCCGCCGAGGGAAGGCAGCAAAGCCAGCAGCGACATGCCTACCCGCTTCAGGATGACCCCGATCTCGTCATACCCGAAACCTCAACAATTGCGTCTGGGAGCTGTCTCAGCCTGGGCGACGGCGGCGACGACGGATTTAGGGGCGACGACGGCGGCGGCCGGTATCTGGCCGCCGGCAGCTACCACACGAGCACCCCGACCACGGTCAACAGCGGAGCTGCAGGCTCCAGTCCGGCCACTCCTGCAGCGCTTCAAGACACGCCCAAGCGAGGCAGGAGCCTCGACTGCAGGCCATCGCCACACCGACTTCCCTGTGCTACCCCCCAGACTCCTTCTTATTCCCAGCTCCGGCAGGCTCAGAACGACTCTCGGCTCAAGTCGGAAAACGACAGCCCATATGCTATGTCCGAACCCCCTTCCTCACACGACCATCACGGCAGCCAGTACCGGCCGCCCAGCGTGGAGTCCGTCATCGATTCGTCTCTCGGGCTCAAAAAGCCATCGGCGGGACGCCAATCGCCGCCACCCCGACGCCGCCGGCCACGGCGCGTGAGCTCGGTGGAGCCGATTCTGCAAACAGCGCCGCTGCCGCCGAGGCTGCGGCGTGCTCACCGCTCTCCGGAGCCAGCGCATCAGTCGGGACGAGTCGAAAATAGGGACGGCGGCGCTAGCGTCGATACGAAGCCTGAGACAGCCACATCCAGGGGCTCACCATCGATCAGGAACCATCAGGGAAAGAGGGAGAAGCGACACCACCATCCGGTGCCGCCTGCGCGATCGCCTTTCGACAGTACCAAGCAGGTGCGGTTCGATCCACACCTCGATCAGTGGTTCAGCAACCAAGAGCTGTCCTCATCCTCACTTTACGGAGGAGATGGCGAACTCGGGGAGAGTAGCGAACTTAGCGGCGAGACAAAGCCGCGCTGCAGCGCCACAGACGGCTACGGGAGCGACGATAGCGCGCGGACTGTGCTGAATGCCAACAACACCAGCACTCGAGGCTTCAGGGGCCGTGTTGACTCGGATCAGAAAGACAACCCAGTGTGCCAGGAGGCGCACAACGGCCAAGACGACCACCGAGACCCTTTCGCGATCCCGCCGCGCCCTCGGAAGCCGCAACTCTTCACCGTGACGACCGAATCCGAGCCTCCAGGCGACGATACTACCGCCAGCCCTGCGCCCCCCATCTCACCGTACGCCACCTCCGCCATGCCGCGCCCGCGCTGCGTGTCGGACTGGACGATGCCGACGGGGTGGCGCTCCCCAACGGCCGATGCCGCCACGTCCCCTAAGCCGCCGCTCGAATCCTACATGAGCCCGAGCATCGATGCAGCAGACGTGGGAGCAGACAGCAGCACCAAGATCCGGACGCCCGATGGGGGCGTCAACGGCGGTGGTGGCGGCGGCGGCAGCAGCAGCAGCAGCAGCAGCAGCAACCACACCGGCGGACACAAGCCTACCAGCGCCACCGCGCAGCAACCCCACCCCCGAGCCGCGCCGCCGCCGCCGCCGCCCGAGATCCTGATCTCGGCCGCCTCCACGCCCGACTGGCAGCGCAGGCCGCACTCGACCCCC